GGGCTTTTCTTTATAGACAGAGCAGAAAGAACAAGCGCTCATAGTATGACCTTATGCAGTTGCAAGAGCCGTGAAACTCTTACCACCCGAACACTGAAGAAAAAACAACAAGACAAGACAGAAAAAACAACAAACACAATACATAGAAGTAAATACCACACGTGCACATCACCGTCTGCGTGAGGATCTCCCGCCAGAGGACGGAGGGCACCAATGGTAGGTCCTTCTTATCTTTCATTCGGTTATTTCTGAAAGTTTGCTTTACTTTTCTCTGCACTGAATGACCGTTAAGGTGTCAATATTCTTTACTTTATTTTACAAACAAACAAACTAAACAGATGATCGGATAATCACGTGTGACATTTCTCCACGAGTTCAGACTTTCGTACTCACCACAAGAACAGCAGATGAAACACCGCGTATGGTACAAGTTCCCCATAGCCTGGCATGCCTCGTTGGCACCGGTCACTTTCTCGCCGCACGTCACACACTGACCTGGGGACACACAAGAGCAATCCGTGAAACGACAATTACAATGTTCGTTGAAAGATAAAAGGCAGATGTTATATTGCCAATGTGCAGGTTTAAATTGAGAAAATTGGAAGGAAAAAAAAGGTACTAAAGTCTCAATACGTCGAAAAGTCTTTTTGCATGAAGCAAAGCTATTATAAGTCACAATACAATGTACTTTCAATAGGGTTTTTTTGGGTCAGAAACGCTAGAAAGTACAATTCTTGTGTTAAGGACTTTACTTTACGTAAAACTTTTAGGTTTTTTTTCTTCAAGAGACCCACCTTCTTGTAGCTGCAATGGTTTATTCATAGCATACATTTTGAATACAACACTTTTAGACAAAGAGGTCATTTTGACGGTAGAGCTTTTTAGAAGAACAGAAAACAAAGACAATACATCAACGATAAAAGAGAAGCAGATGTTAGCATTCTCATCTCTGACCGGAGTTTCAATTTGATGAACTCATAGTTGTGAATCCAAGACCACCTTTTCTTTTCCTGTTATAACCACCCACACACAAGCCTACGCATATCTCCCTCTCTTCACTGCTCAATATTTCGTTTTCTACAAAATGCGACATGAATTATACACCCCCCTCCCCCGCCAAACACAGAGACACACAGAGAACAACCTAA